GCCAAAGAAAAGGTCAAGTATCCTCAAGTAAGTAAGGAGTTGTACTTACTTATAAGTAAAGGTATAACCTCCTATTTACTTACTTACTTACTTATACTTATTTATACTTACCTACAATACTTGACTTATCGACAGCGCTGAGGTGGATATCTCCAGGAATCCATCGCCCACAAACCATGCTTCTTCATACTCCTCTTCATCCCTTCGGTGCGAGCGCTTCAGGGAGTCAATGATTGGGCACTGCTACTTGTCTCAGTACCTCTAGGGTGTGCCGCGAGGCATGACATCAAGCCATACGTCCGCTATTGGGGTGGTCTAGACTCTTGTAGCCTTCGATGTATGTATAGTCCAGAGAGCTACCTTTAGAGAGCCAGGGAGTTCTACATGAACCTTCAAGTCTCAGGATGGTGATAATTGTGTTTGGAAGAGAACCACAACTTGCTGCTCTACGTGGAGACAGTAGAGGTTGGAAACACTGCCTCCGGGTCCGGGGCAGTCAGTCACCGGGATCAGTGATTTATTGTCGGTTTCCTCTTCTCTTTGTCCCCTTTGGCTTATGTCAGGAGCGTTCGATTGGTTGGACTGTTGGACTGTTGGAAAGGTCAAAGTCAAGTCATCATCCTCTCTCTCCGGGCATCGAACGTGGAACGGCTCACGCGGGTGGCACGCACCCGTCGTTCCGTACGTAGAGGTACAGTATCTCGGCTGGGATTTTAGCCGCTTGTCTACGACTCCACCGTCTGAACTACAAGTACATAAAGTAGGTACCGTCCGCAACGTGGCTGGCCCGGCCCGGCCCGGCTCATGGAAGAGATGGGATGGCTCCCAGCCGGATATTCGTCCGCTGCGTACGGTATCCTACCTGCTCCGAGGATATGGTGACGGCTAGAGACACAAGCTCGCCCTTGCAATCCATGCTTTTCCCTCCTACTCTTGCGGTTACTCCTGTCATAACTGAACGTGGTCGGATAATGATCTGTATTTCTTCAAAATCAGATATGTGGATGCGAAGTATGTCGTTGGAAGGTTGGGGCAAAGTACAAACCTTGAGGCTCAAAAAGGAAAATGGGATGATGGGCTTGGCGGCGACTTACACGGCACCCGCCGAGCCGCGCCGCGCCGGGGCGGACAGGGGCCGGCATTGTTCTCGGCTTGGCGCACGGGCATCGCTCAACGTCCTGCACATCGGCCACGACAACGACTTCTGCCTTTTTCCACCATCAAAGACCGGTCGGATGTCTTCTTGGTGTTTTGCGCTGCTCGCACTTCCTTTTTCATCAACATCACTATTGCAAACGGACCATGTGGCTGTTCATGTCGAGGACGGTGGTCGTCGGCGATGACGGTCCGCCAAGCCAACCAGTCTTGGCATCTTGGCGCCACCAACACCGGCCCAGCTCCTCAATGAACGGTGGTTTTGTTCAGTTTGCGCAAAATCGTCACTTACCCTGCACTTTCTGCGCTTGTCTCGTCGCCGACCCACGATTTCAGCAACTGACCCAACACTCCAAAAGCTGACCAACATCGCAAACTCCGACCAACCCTGTTAATTGACCAACTTCGTCTGACCAACTTCAATCCGCAACCAACCAACCTTTTCGCAATGCACAACTTCCTCTTGACAGCAATTGAAGCCATTTGACTCTCTCAAATTCATTCCCCACAACGTTCAAAACCGAGAAAACAATCAGACGCTCGAGCATGCGGCTCTTCACCCCTCCTCCCAGATCCCAGCGCATCAATGGGTTCAGTGGTCCCACCAACCGACGTCAGGGTCATGATTACTTTTACGATTTCGCTCCCGCCGTCGCCGCCGAGTCCCGCGTGGAGTTGGAGAAGGTTACATCGCGACTTTTTGACACCTCGTGAGGAGCGGAGCGGAATCCCCAAGACCTGACATGACATGGACAAGAACAACTCGACCTGCATATACGAGGAGTAATCCACTTACGGGCCACTTTGGGGCAATATGGAAGCCTGCTGCTCTTTGTGGTCATGAGATCTCTGCTTTTACGGTTGGACACCACCAACAGATAGCGGTTGGCGATGTTGAACTTGAAACCACTGAAGTACCGGTAGTACATAGGCAAAAGGGACGGTGTAACTCCAACGCAGGTTGCCCTCTGCAGTGAGTTAAGTAGGGAAGAGATCAGCTGTAACGTATCACCTACCACGTGAGAACCACACATTCCACACCTCACCGAGCCAGCGGGCATTGAAAGACATACGGACTGACATAAGATGCAGGGTCTTGTGCGAATCTTACCTGAGCTGAGAAGGGTGAAGTCCTGTCCGAATGGGTTGAGCTCGATGAGCCAGAAACTTAGAGGTAGATGGGTTCCCGGATACATTTGAGGTGGCGATGGACTGACTGTCTTATACCCGTGTGTAACCGACCTGGTGAGATCTACATCTGGTATCAAGAATGCTGTGGCTTGGTTCGGGAAGATGTTGCCGACCAGACATTTGAGGAACGTCTTCCACTTCGAATCGATGTCTTCCAAGTTTCATTTTCCATCGCTGAATGCCACCAAACCGCGATCAACGGATGCCCGCCCTATCCACAGCCTTTGATGTGTGGGAATCCAAGGGAACCATCACGAGAAACTCCCGTTCGATATGACGATGCACACCGACCGTTAAAGCCCTTAATCCCACCACCGGTAATGCAACCCCGCCATACGATCCAGCAGTTCAACACCACCGACGGCAACCTACAGCAACCATCAAAGCAAGAATTTCTCAACCTTCAGTGGTCTGGCTGGTGTGCCCTGGTTGCGATCCAACCCACCCATAAACCTTCCCCGCATTTTCGGGCCCTTTCGAATACGATGTTAGTGGATGTCAGCAGATGGAGGTGCAGGGGCTGGGGATAGATGCAGCCAAAGATCGTCTGGATACAAGCTGGCTGCGGAAGCGACGGGAACGGTGAGCTGCGGCTCCAGGGCTTGGCTTCGTCTTGGCGATGAGATCATATGCGGTGACAACTGACGACCACCACGACACTTCGGTTTTGAGGGTTGGAACTATCGAACTTCGTATTGCTGATGGAACTTTATCGAGGTGGTATTGTGGTTATTGACTGCAATATTGTATTTGAGTTTTCAGGTCTTCTGATCTTGTCAACTGTGAGCTTTGGACCAGTGTCTCCCAAGTCCAAGGACCAAGAGACCCAAGAAGTCCAAGACTTCGACAACATTCGACTGCATACCGAACCCGGGTACGACAGAAGTGGACCGTTAAGGTTGTCAAACCACTGGAACGAACCGCACTTCCGCGCTGCCGAGACCCGGATTATCACTTCTTCAAGGAAAAGATCTTCAAGTTCGGAGACTTGGGATTCCCTTGAGTGCGGAGGTATAGTACGAGGAACAAGAAGGTTAACAAGCTTCTAACCAGTCAGCAGTGTAACACGTCGGTCAAGTGCGGAGTCTTACACCTCGTGTTGAGAGATTTGGTACCTACTTCCTCACCGTCAATATCGGCCACACCTAGAGGTACCTACTCCGCGGCTCCGCCTCCACCATCTGACGTCTAGGACATGCTCAACGAGATGGATGCTATTTCCAGACAAGTGTGGAAGGGAAGTAACCCTCTTCCCGTGTTCGGTAAGATTCTATGTGGAAACGTTGTTGTCAGCCAAGTCGATGATGTGAAGATGGAGCAGGGGGGATCTTGGTGTATATAAACCTCCAGATCCTCCTCGTCTTTCATCTGTCAGTTCTCATCATCCACAACCACATCAGAGAAGTCTCAACCTCAAAGACACTTCCTCATACCAACCCTTATCTTCTTCAACAACAACCAAGCCAAATACAACAAAACCCACAAAGCAAACCGCAAAAATGCAACTCACAACCCTCCTCACCCTCTCCGCCTCGGCCGCCACCGTCCTAGCCACCCCCACCCCCCAACCCCGCGCCGACACCGTCGGCTCCGCCATCGTCACCAACAAATGCTCCTTCCCCGTCACCCTCTGGTCCGTCGGCAGCACCGTCTCCTCCCCCTCCACCCTCCCCTCCGGCTCCGGCAGCTACTCGGAGAAATTCGTCAAAGACCCCGTGACGGGGGGCAAAGCACTCAAGATCACCACCACCCCCGACGGCCTCTACACGGGCGCTCCCGAGCTGATTTTCGCTTACTCGCTTGACGGCGCCAACGTCTGGTACGACTTGAGCAGCGTGTTCGGGGACGCGTTCAAGGGACATAAGCTCGTGGTGAAGGGGAAGGGGGAGGGAAGTTGTGGTGCTATTGAGTGGGGGCAGGGGACGCAGCCGGCGGGGAGTCAGACGAAGGTTTGTGGGAGTAAGGGGGATGTGGAGTTGGTTTTGTGTGCTTGAACGGCTTGTGCTCACGAGAGGGGGATCTTGGAACGGACGGGAGCGAAAGGATATAATTGGGTGTACATATGCCGGACGGGCTCAGGAAAGGAGGAGGAAGCTGGACAAAACGAGAAACGACTGATAGCATGAAGGATGGAGGAGACACGACACGAACAAATGTTCTAATAACGATTTAAAGCACATAATGACCACATTTTTCCTAACTTTAAGCTTTAAAGTCTCTATTCTCTACATCTCTTACTTAATTTTGTCTACCATGCTGTTCCCATCGTAGAGTGTCTCCTCATGTTCATCCTCATCTCCTGCTCCTGGTACCCCCAGGAAGCACCCTAACCCTTACCCCAACCTTTACCCTAACCCTTTGTTCACCGCAAGCGCAAGCGTTCATCTCAAACCCCCAGAACTCCTGAAAACCCCCCGACGACGAGAGGTGGTCCTTTCTTTTCCCACATACAGTGTTGTATTCCCTTTCCCTTTCTTCCTTTCCGACGACTTTCGTTATTTGCGTTGAGTTACAACATGTTCAAGTCAAAAATGTGGCCACTGACAACACCCAAACACTCGGAAGTCATGCAAAAAGAAACAAACAAGCAGAGAGAAGAATGGGAAAAAGCGCAAAAAGATGATGTCGTCCTTGTTCAGGAACATCGGGAATTGAGCCCGACGTGGGGGTCGAACCCACAACCTTGAGATTAAGAGTCTCACGCTCTACCGATTGAGCTAGCCGGGCGGTTGTTAACCGCCATTGGATGTTGAGAGAGCATTCTGGGGATGGGTTTAAGAAGGTTGCGTGATTTTGAGCGTGGCGATGTGTGAAGGGTTTTTCAGTGGTGGAGGTTGTTTGGGAGTTGATGCCGGGCGGTCCATGTCCGGGAAGTGGGTCCATTCGCGTTGAGAGATTGACCAAATCACAGTGTCCAAATGGTTGAGCAGAGGGCACAAAGAGATCATGATGAAGAGAGTTTTGCAAAGTGGAAACTTGTGTTTTTGAGGGAGAGGGAGAAGAAGAAGAAGAGAGAGAGAGAGAGAGAAGTCTATCAAAAGACGACACAAAGAACGCCCAACCCCATGCTCAAAGACAAACAGAAAATCCAGTTCCAAATCCCAGTTCCCAGAACCACATCCCCTGTTCCACCAAACATCCATCTCCACCGCTCCCGGAACCCCAGCTGCTCCGGAATGTCCCTCTGTGCAGAAGGATCGGATAATGTCCTTGGCTTCTTCGCTGATTTCTGGTGAAGTGAGCATTACTGGTCCAGTTGAGAGCGGACGGTAATTGGGCATTTCCTTACCGCGGCGTTGTGCCGTAATTCCCCAAATTCCACAACAACAAAGAGTCAAAACCACGTTTCGCTTCGTTCGCCAGCATTTCGGCATGTTCTTGCATTTCCTTGAATGCCCAGCTGCTAGTCCACGCCCGAACTGTATCAACCCAAACTCCCACAGCGGCGCTGCACGCCCCCTCTCGCGCCAGCACCGGCCTGGGCGGCCTTGACCTCCTCAACCTCCAAGAATAAGGCGGGCCTTCTCCTTGTTCTCGGCATCTTCCTTGTCCTCCTCCCAGATCTTGGTAAACAGCAACCAGACCGAGATCTCGAGCTCCTCTTGTTGCTCGGGGGTAAGTGTTTGGCCGACGGATGGGTAGGGGCCATGGTAGTCTTTGAGGTCGGAATCGGTGAACTGGACGGATGGACGTGTTAGCTGGTGAGAGTCATGGATTTGGTTGCTTGAGTGAAGGGGGAAGGGCCTTTGAAGTCCTGATCAACTGATGCTAGTGTTTCTCGTCTCTCGGTGATTCTTTCGCTGAGTGTCTTTTTGTTTCTTGGCCAGCTGAGCCAAAGGTGACATGCAACTGGGGGCACACAAGGCCACAAGCAACTGTGAAACACCCTGAACATGCGAGAAACGAATGTGAAAAATAAGGCTGGGGGTCTCGGTCCGCAAAGCGGTCTCTTGAGGGAAAAGTGATGTGATTGTGGAAGCGGAGGAGAGGATGCCTACCTCTAGGGCGGGCGACGAGAGGAGAAAAGGGCTATCGAATAGTGTAGACAAACTTACCGTGCACGGAGTCCGATACCGTCGTGTCATCCTTGTGCGTGTGTATCTGCCCCGGTATCCTTTTTTGCTTCGTCAGTTACACGAACTTTCGAGGTCTTCGTCAGGACGTGGCTGCGAGAGCAGCGAGACTTACTGGGAATCTCGACAGCGTCGATGACAATCTCCATATTGGCGCGCCTTTCTTCTTGGGGTATGCGTTTTTGAGTGGACAGGAGTTCTGGTCGGGAAGACAGTATGGGTGAAGGAGAAAACGCGGAGGTGGTTTTGGATGAAGGTTGAGTTGCGGAAAAGGTGATTGCGAGAGAAGAAATAAAAGGTCAACGCAAACCTCGTTCTGAGGGGCTGCCTATTCTCGAGATGGGATGGAAGTCGCGTCCCCAGCATATCCTGCACTCAACCGGCCTTGAGGTTCCTTCCTAACCGTGACTGCCAGTGTTCAGGCTGCAGGAAAGAATTTGAGCAATTTAACTGACTGGAAGCTTTCCTCCGGCTCTCAAAAGAAGAGGAAGGCACGTCTCTGGCACTCCGCCTCGTCTTTCTACCTCTAGCTGTACCGGCTGGTGACTTAGACCACTACAGAGTTTGCTGCGTGCCAGTTGTAGTTCGCAAGTTGCTCACTAGGATAGTCCACGTTTCTCCGTGGAAGGAAACCCTCCTGCTCCTTCTCATGGAGTAGCTGCGAATCATTCGTTTGGCCTTGTAGCTCAACCGCTTCTCAGTCACCACCCACCCCAGCTCATCCGACAAGGGCAGACTGCCGTTTGCCTGGTCTTGCCAGAGTCCAAGACTGGGAGGAAAGCATGAATTACCATTGCAAAGACGAGTGGAAAGATTGAGTAGTGTCCGAAATAACTCCCGTCGGTCGGTTCAGCGACAAGCTTCGTGGGAAGGAGTTCGGTTCGTTCTACCGTCTGTTACCGGGCGTAGCCGCTCCTATCAAACAGGTCTGGTCCTTCTGGCCCTCTCGCGACCCTCGATTATGGACCTCGTAAAATCTGGCCGCAATCTCGCAACCTCCTCTCCGGTACCTGCCAGTCTTCCACAAGGAAGGAAGGCGCATCTTTCCACGATCGAGATCTTCGAAGACACTGCCCGAGCACCAGACACTCGTGATTCCCAACAGCAATTTTAAAGGTCCCCCTTCGGTGTCAGGTTCATGCAGAGGAAGGCGCTCCTTCCCTCTGACACTCCGTCGTCAGTCATTCCTCTCAACAAGCCGCTGGTTATTGGCTTGCTCCGCCTGACCCAGTCCACCTGCACTCTTGATTAATCCCTCTTCGTGACTGCCATATTCCACAGAGAGCAATGGCGTGCTGACGTTGGCCAGAGAGGTCCTCGTCATGCGATTGCAAATCATCATGTCACGATGGAAGACGCTGGAATCAAGTTCGAGTGTCCCTTCCTTCTTTTCGAGCCCAAAGGCATGACTGTCCCAACACCCGAGCTTCAGATGAAGAAAGCTGTCGTAGAAGGACCGCATGACACTCGAGCAGTTCTTGCGATTGAGAAAGTTCCAGGTTTGAGTCATCGGCTCACCGAATTGCATAATCGTAGATGAAGGCCTGGTCAAGGCAACCGGCACTTTCGAGCATTCGTGACTGCCACTTCATGAAATCTCTCCAGAAGTACACTGGACACTCTGATCAAGCACGCCATCCATCAGGGTGACACGCGAAGGAGCGGTCGCGTCTCAATGAGCAAGTGTCCTTGAGTGTCATGCTAGCAAGACGGCCGTTGGATTGGCTCCGAAGTTCAAGCAATGAGTGATGGTCTTTCGTCAAGTGTCTTTGGCAGAACTAAAGCAGAGGCATTGCACAATAAACACAATGATCAAGATGAGTTGAAAGTGAAAGGTCAAAGAATTTCTATCTGCAAGTGACTGGCTCCCGTCACCCCCGCGCCTTAACCTTCCAACCAGAGAAAGGAGGAAAAGAAGGAGGAGGAGGAGGAGAAGAAGAAGAAGAAGAAAAGAGAAAGGGATAGAGAAACTACAGTACAAGTACACACATTCCGAACCCCGCGGCAATACGCCGGCCAACCCAACAGACACAATACGCCGGCCACACCAACAAAGACAATGTGCCGGCCCCTGGTCATACCAGCAGAGAGGAGAGTCTCGAGACGAGGCTGAGTGTAAGACCAGGGACCGGCGTTGAGAGGCTCTTCCTCTTACCAGACGATTGGGCTGCCTGTCGTGTTCGAACGGTTAGCTGGATGTCCCCAGGAGCTTGGTGTTCAAAGAAGTGTGGAGGGTGAGGAACTTACCACGCCGGAGGCGTTGGGTACTGGTCGAGGTTCTCACTCGGACTTTGCGCCGGCCACACCAACAAGACAATGTTGCCCCGGCCCCTGCCCCGGCCAAATATTTGGCCTTCCCCAGCCCGGGGGCGGCTTCGCGCGTGAGGACTTCTGTGATGTTAGAAGGCGGCAGTGTGTTAGAAGGGGACAAGGACGTACGCGCGCAAGTGGGTGCCCGGAGGCGCGGCTCCTCCAGTCTGCATTCTGGATGTTCTCCTTGTCTTCTCCTGCGACGATCTTGTGACGTCCATGTCAGTAACGGAGTGAGGTCCTCCCCCAATGAGGCAAAGGTGAGAGAGTTGGAAGGTGACGAAAAAGAGGAAGATAACTCACGAAGAAGCATGAGAAGACAATCGGCCGGCCCCGATTGTCGGCGGTGATGGGTGCATGTTGGACATGGGTGAGCCGCATTTGCCGCAGAGCTGAGTCGAGAGAGTGGTGGTGGGTGTGTCGTGTGGGATATCAGCGGTCGACATGCTACTCTCCAACGAAGGCCTTGATCTCTTGGTGGGTTGTCATGTAAGGGATCTGGAGAATTGAAACAGTTGGTTAGGGTGATTCTCGTCGCAGACAGTGCTCTGGGTGTTACCCACGTTCTTGATCTTGACAACTCCAGCATCAGATGCCGAGGCTTGGGAGCAGCTCTCGATGAAAGGAAAGTTGTGCGAGCAGCTGGTGGTCAGGACGGTCTGGGTGCACATCTTGGGTGCACATCCTGGTGGCGTCCTCGGTCCTGAGTATGCCCTGTGTTTGTGGCAGCGTGGAATAAAGAAGGGAGATGATGAAAAGAGGAGAAGAGAGGGAAGAAGATTTCTGGGGATGGAGGGGGCTTTATGGGACTGGCAGAGCGGGGCAGTTTGCGCGAAAGATTTGTCTCGTTACGGCACGCTTGCCTGAGGTACTTTGTACCTTTACCTTCTGTGTTACACCAGTCCCGTCTTGCTGGTGGATCGTGTCCAAGGCACACATTTGCCCGAGTGAGTCCAGGTAGCCCAGCTCGAGGACACCCTCCTATCTCAGCATGGAGGGAAGCTATTCGGTCCGGGAAAATTCGAGTAAGCACCTTTTAAGGTCTCAAAAGCCGACTGTGAACGTTATGAGAATTCCCATGGTCAAGTTGTGGTCCAGATTGACGCGTTCTTTTGACCGATCTCGTCGATTGTGTCCCTCCACAACGTGCCATGGCCGGAGACGACTCTCCCTGCCTGAGGAGTACGTACCTAACAGGTACCCTCCGAGTTCGTCAGGCGCCATGCAAAGCTGTTTGCAAATTCGGGATGATGAAGGAGCTCCAGACGAAACGGAAAGACCACCTTCTTGCTGCCAAAGCTGTCACGGTGTGCCTCTGACCTTGGAGCCCACCCGGCCCTCAAG